GATTTCTTATTTTGTGATTGGTTGTTAAGGTATGGGGGAAAACTGCATCCAAAATTTATGGTCCGGTCGCTGGAGTCGATTTCAAGGACAATCAGCTTAGATTCAGCCTTCTATGCCAGGTTAGTAATGTCCACCCTCGTTTGTCTATTTTCGTAACGAGCGTAAATAATACATTTTGTTACTAACTGTTATCAAGTGTTTAGTACAAATGTTAATCTGTGCATCTTCTGATTGTATAATTTTAGGCAGCTCTAGTAGCACCAAGAGTTCTGAACCTTAACAGCAGCAAATATTTTTCTGGACCATATGGTAGGCAAAAATCATCTCCAATTCTTTTCACCAACACCACTTTTACAAAATCTTTTATGCATTAATTGGTAGTACGACATTTCTGCGTGCAGGGGAAGAAGTTGTTTTCATTGCCAACGATTGGCACACTGCCCTGCTTCCATGCTACCTGAAAGCCATATACAAGCCTAAAGGCATATACAAGACCGCCAAAGTAGCCTTTTGCATTCACAACATTGCTTACCAAGGCAGATTTGCTTTCGCTGACTTTGCACTTCTCAATCTGCCCAATGAATTCAAGAGCTCGTTTGATTTCATTGACGGGTAAGTTTTTTCGCAGTTTTTAAATAGCGTAGACCGCATAGCATTATCTGACTGAAAGTTGAGTATGATTGGTTCAATTCCACAGGTATAACAAACCAGTAAAGGGGAGGAAAATCAACTGGATGAAAGCAGGAATCTTGGAATCAGACAAGGTCTTGACTGTTAGCCCATACTATGCCGAAGAACTTGTTTCTTCAGTTGAGAAAGGAGTTGAATTGGATAACATTCTTCGGAAATCTAGAATTCAAGGAATTGTGAATGGCATGGACGTCCAGGAATGGAATCCCGTAACTGACAAGTATACAACTGTCAAATATGATGCTTCAACTGTAAGAATACTCATCGTACAACTTCCATAACCGCACTGCGTGCAAATTCTATGATTTGTATGGCAATGACTCTTTAAATTTGACTTGCTTAGGTGGCTGATGCAAAGCCTCTTTTGAAAGAAGCCCTCCAAGCAGAAGTCGGACTGCCGGTGGATAGAGACATCCCTGTCATAGGTTTCATTGGGAGGCTTGAAGAGCAGAAGGGTTCGGACATTCTCATAGAAGCCATTCCCCATTTTATCAAAGAGAATGTTCAGATTATAGTCCTCGTAAGTACCGGACATGGAAGTTGTTCCTCTCCTTATATTGCTTATCTGTTTGTCATGCCACCAAAACCTGTATCTGTATATCATCCTGATCTGCATTCTACAATTTCCTCAGGGGACTGGCAAAAAGCCAATGGAGAAGCAGCTTGAACAGCTGGAAACAGAATACCCAGACAAAGCCCGAGGAATAGCGAAATTCAATGTCCCTCTGGCCCATATGATCACGGCAGGAGCTGATTTCATGTTGGTTCCAAGCAGATTCGAGCCATGTGGTCTCATCCAGTTGCACGCCATGCGTTATGGAACTGTAAGATCCATTTCCCAAGCAAGTTCTACGTCCGAAGGTACTTCTTGCTTTAGTACTGAATCGCTGCTACGCTTCTGCAGGTGCCCATTGTTGCGTCAACCGGCGGGTTGGTAGACACTGTTAAAGAAGGATTCACTGGATTTCATATGGGAGCCTTCAATGTGGAAGTAATACTTAAGTTCCTTCCCTTTAGTTTTACAGAATCTTTTATACTTTTGTGTGAGCTCAAGTTTCGGAAATTGATGTTTCAGTGCGAAGTTGTTGATCCAGTGGATGTACAAGCAATTGCTACAACCGTCACAAGAGCCCTCGGAAGTTATGGAACTCCAGCTTTTACTGAGATCATAAGCAACTGCATGGCTCAAGATCTCTCGTGGAAGGTAAAGACATCGCGCCTCGCACAATCCATTTACAATTAGTCGCATTCTTGCATTCCTAAATCCTTTGAATCGGAACTGCGCAGGGTCCTGCTAAGAGTGGGAGGAAGTGCTGCTGAGTTTGGGTGTCGCCAACAGCGAACTTGGGATTGAGGGTGAGGAAATTGCACCGCTCGCAAAGGAAAATGTCGCAACGCCATGAGAAACACGAGTTAACCAGCAGTTGACCGGTTTTGTGAAGAAACACGGAAGAAATCTGCTGCGCGCCCCTAACTGACCGTCTTGTGTGCAGTATATTTACAAGCAACTCACAACACAGTGCGTGAGGTCATCAATTGAGGCAATTTGCGTATCTTAGGTCACCCGTGGAGGGCTGTAGCGGGGCTATAGATCTAACGAAACCAATAGCAGATTCATATTCGATTGTCTTTTCTTCGATGCATATTTTCACATACATTTATCGTAGCATCGCAGTTCGATAATATGAAGTTTCCGTAAGCAAAACACACATCAAGCCGGGAAATTTACAGCAACTCAAGTATTGAATGCAGAAAATATAACCGTAGAGTTCGGTCAGGAAAACACGAGCACAATTTGGGCAATGCCCAATCAATCTCTGTAAACAAGACTAAAGCATTCTAACGAGAGTTATGCAACCAACACAGAGCTCGTGATCATGTTCCGAAGCATGTATTGCACATCAAACGGCAGATAAAACCATCGCAAACAATTCAATTTCAAGATCAAAAGAGTAACATACGTTTATATCAAGAAATTCAAACATAAGATGTTCACAAATAGGACACGTTCGGCAGAAAACCAGGAGCCTTTAACAATTTCTCCATTAGCACCACATATCATAAGCCAAAAAGAAAGACACCCCCTACCAGATTGATACGGTAACTAATCTCAAAGTACTAAAAACCATCAAACAGAAGAATGGATTACATCTTTGCTGAAAGGAGCTCCTAATCGAACAAGCTGAATCCCATATCGTCATCACTCTCCTCCTTGGGCTCTTCCTGTAAAAGTCATATTCGAAACCAAAACGAGCAAATCAGATAACCCGACACTTACTAACCACAACAATTTCAACAATTCCCTCGATGAAAAATGATAGAATTGACCCAATACCTTCTTCTCCTCTACTGCAGGAGCAGCGGCAGCTGGGGCAGCCCCACTGGCACCTGAAGCAGCAACGGCTACAGCAGCACCGCCGCCACCAGCGCCAACATTCAGGATGAGGTCTTCAATGTTCCTCTTCTCGGCGAGCTTGGCGAACAAGCCGGGCCAGTAAGACTCAACAGTGATATCAGCAGCTTTCACCACTGTTGCAATCTTCTCAGCCTATTACAAACCAATATTAAGGAGAATCACAGCTTCCATAAACAACATTTCTAAATTTCTATTTAATCTAACCCATTAACTTAAACCAAATCAAAATAAAATAACACAAATAAACACAGCTAAATCAAACCCATATTAATCCATAGAAAAAAAACACGAACACGAAAGTTTAACAATTGCAGCATAAACATTAATAGCAAATCATAAAAATAAAACAATAAAAGCTAAAAAAACGAACTAATAAATAATAAAAACGAACATGTGAAAGAAAAATAGAAAAAAGGATACAGTGATGGGGATGCCATCATCGTGGAGGATTAGGGCGGCATAGGTGCAAGCAATCTCTGAAATCGACATCGTTTTTCGCTATAACGAACAACAACCAAGCCCACAATTATTAGTTTTGCCATGGAAAACATACTCAGAAGAGTTTGCAGTCGATGCTAACAGGAGAGAGAGAGAGAGAGAGAGAGAGAGAGAGAGAGAAAGAGGAGAGAGAGTCACCTGAGGGAGATGAGATCTGAGACTGATGGGTGGTAGAGAGCTGCGCGGCTGCAAAACCTCAACACTTTCTGGTCTAGGGTTTCTGATTTTCTAGCGAGGTAGGGCATTTAAAGGTGCGCAACAATGGCCTCGCCGGATTTTTTTGGAAGCGCAAGAGTAGGCTCAGGGCCCAGAAAGCCCAGTTCTCATTTTCTTATGGTGGTCAAAAGCCCATTCATCCACTGGAGTTTGGACTATGGGTGATTTATGGAGACCCCAAAATGATATTTGGACACCCAAGTTCTGACAAAGTAAAAGAAAAGAAAAAGAGATTCAATTTGTAGAATGAATTGAAAGTCCTTTAGATCTAGCAAAAACATTTCTCCTAAAAATAAGTTCTACTCGCTAAAATTTATCAAACACCCAACTACTTTATTTTGCAACTGATTATTTTTAAAACACAGTAGAAATAATTTATTAAAAAAAGCACAACAATTCCAAACCGGCCCGGAATGATCTCATGTCATCAATCAATTTCTAGTTATATTTTTATTGACAAGCGTATAGACAACCAATTAAAATATCGATTATATCAGTAATATAGACGATATATTGATAGTTAATATAGATTGAATGTGGTGAGCTAACTATTTCAATTTAATTCTATATAACAAACGAGGCTTAAAGGCGTCTCTAACAGCCTTGCTAAATGAGGTTGTTTGGGCATTTTAACAGAAATATCACAAGTTCCAACATGCTATTACTTGCTATATGCCTCTCTACTTTGACATTGTGAGCAGTTTCTTGCTAGATTTAGCGATGAGGAAAGAGAAATTCGCAAGCTAGCTTATACATAAACAATTATCATTTATGTTCTTCCTCCACACGCTGTTTGGGTCATGAATTGTGGATACTTCCACGATTAAGCGATCAATTCTAAGACGATGGAGTAGTGACTATTAGTTGCGACAATAACGACGAAGTCGATGAGATATGAGATGACGGAGCTGATGAGATGGCCTAAGAAACGACATATAGGGAGAGTGAAGGGAAAAACAAAAAATAACGAAGAGATGGAATATGAGTGGTTCGAGAGAAATTGACGGAAAAGAGAGAAAGGGAGAAGAGAAAAAGAAGAGAGGGAGAGAGAGAGAGAGAGAAAAGTGGCTCTAGATAATGGTACAAGTTGACTTTCCTTTTTTTTTTTTTGGTCAAAAATTATAAATAAATTATTGAGACCTTATACAATCAATTAAGAATTTAAGATAAGATAATCCAATTCGATGACAAATATCTTCTCTCGTTAAAGTTAAACAATAGTACATTGCTTGAATTTCTTTTGTCACAAAGCAAAAATTCAGCTAGCAATTGGAGAAATTCCCCTACTGCTTACTGTTATTTTTTTCTTCAATATTGAAGCATGTTCTGTAATTTGAGACAAGTAATTCAATTTTGAATCTCAAAACCAAATCAAATTAATTATAAAAATACTACTCTCACCACATATTCGTATCATTATTTATATCATCTCTCTTATAAAGATGAGACGCACATGTGTTGATGAGTCTATTTTTATTAAAAATACAGTACAAATAATAATACAAATATGCAATAAGTGTTATATTACTAAATTAATTATGCAAAACCATGCATTGCCTAAAAAATGAGAGATCTCCTTGGATTCCAAGCACATTCTTCAAAGCCTCAAAAGTGATTGATTGATTGTGCAAAAGAAGAATCATAGTAAAGAAAAACCAAAATAACCAGAAGGACAATCTTCTATTTCTTCAAATTAATCCATCCTATCTGAAAAAACAGTGACCAAATTAAAAAAAATAAAAGTTACAAGTTAAATGGCCAATCAAGCTATCCCAAGCTTTTGACCAAACTGGTGTTTCAAAGACATAAAACAAATCTTTTGAAACCCGATTGCTTTTACCAATATAAACAGAGGTGGCTTTATGCCATTGGATGCTCTCAGCAATCCCAGACACATAATCCAAATGCTAATTAGTGTTGTGACTAGTGAGGCAGAAACCAAAGCGCAACATTTAGCTTCCACCTTCATGCAATTACATGAATTAATGATTACTTATGAGTCTTAATTAATTAATTAATGAATTCCTTCCCTAATTCTACCAACTAACTTGAAAAATAAGCTAGACTCCCCCTAATTGTCCTAACCAAGAACATGTTTGATGATGATAATGATGATGATGAAGTTAGTGAAGCAAATGAAGAACCAATCGGATGCTGACACTTGGATGAAACCCTTTTACCCTCTTCTGATAGTAGCTGATGTGATTAATCTGCAGAAGTAGGCAACTCTTCCGAAATGATGGCTTAAAATCTGGTTCTGTTAATGGCATTTTTCCCCTTCCCTTCCATCAATGCTGTTAGTCTTGAAAAGTTGACATTGTTTTGATGCTTTGTGGATATTAAGTTGCAGAACTCTGCCCAGAATTTACCCCAGAAGGTTGTGGGGCGTCTGCCCCCGCTGACGTGACCCCAGTTGCGGCTGCTGTTTCACCTGTAACATTTTGCATGTAAACTGTAAATTCATATTTTCTCTTTGGAGTGTCACGGCGACGATATCTTAAGCGAATTATGCTGGAATATTAGCAGGAAAATGGTTAAAATGTTTTTACCTGGGGTAGTTGTGGAGGAGGTGATTGGCATTGAAGGAGGAGGAAGTGAGAGGATCCCAGCTGTGGAGGCGGACCCATAGGGCTGAGGCAAATAAGGGTACTGTAACATTTGGGGATATTGGACACCAAGGGCATGAGCCTGACTCTACTCTGAGCATATTGAGCATATAATGGGTAGACATTTTGGTAAATTCCAGCTGGCCCAGATGCACCTCCAGTTGTGGTGGTGTAGTAAGGTGAGAATTGTTGGCCGCCACCACCATAGACACCGTAATAGTTCTGCACAATAACATGCATTTTGAACAAAAGTCAGCTTAAGAAAAAATCAAGAAAAAACAAAAGAAAAAATAGATATTATGTACCCACTTAAAGTGGTAAAACTATTTAGTACTATGGTCTAATGATATTTTTCTTCAGATCTTTCCCTTAGTGTAAATAATATTTGTTCGTTAAAAAACAAGAAAAAGTGGTAAAAAATTTACCATGGGATACATGGAATCTTGTGCGTATCCATTGTACCTGTAATTTTACACCCAAAAAGAAGGAAAGAAAAATCAAATATAGGTACACAGTAATGAACCCGTATCATGTAAATTGTTCTGGAAATTATATGGAGAAGAAAAGAAAATTTTTGATGGTTTTTGTTCTGGGGAATTTGAGGCTTACCCATAAACTGGATAAGGAAATGTGTATTGGCCAGTGGGTTGAGGGAAATAGGTTGATGAGGATCCATGATAAGCAGCTGGTGGCGCCACCAACCTATGTGCTGCTCTAAACCTTCCTGCACCTGCAGCATTACCATAACAAAATCAACAAACACATTGGGTCTCTTTTCTTTGTTTCCAAACCCTAGCACATTTTAGATCCACATTCCCATTTAGGAATGGAAATATTTTTTGCGGGATGTGATTACTCGGTTCACCGGCAGAATACAGTAGGTCAACCAGGCACTCACATCCCGCAGAAGATTTATCCCGCATTGGAGAACAAAATGATTCAAGAAATGGTAAAAGAAAAGAATAAAATTATAGTATGAGAAAGGCAAAAACCATGAAGAGGAATTGGTGGGCGAGTCTTTTGTGCACCAAGAAATGCGAGATTGCAGTTTGCCCTCCTTCCATCAATCACAGGGGATGGATTTTGGCACGCCCTCACGGCTGCCTCTGGATCCTTAAATGTAACCTAATCAAAGCAATCAAACATTAATTAACAAAGAAACACAAATTTTATGATCAGAAAAACCCAGAAAAATCACAAGAAAGAAAGTAATGGGATTTGCTTACAAATCCATAACCCTTGGATCTTCCAGTGTTTTTATCTGTGATCACAACAGCCTCCAAGATCTCCCCAAACTGTTCAAAGTACCTTCTCATGGTTTCCCTCTGAGTCTCCCAGGCCAACCCTCCCACAAAGATTTTGGTAAAAGTTGTGTCATTGTATTGCCCTTGATTGTTCATGTAATTACTTCCCCCCACCATCTGAATTTGCCTTCCTTGATTCATTAAAACCAAAAACAAATACCCAAAAAAAACAAAAAGATTAAATTTTTTAATTTTTTTTTAAAAAAGAAGAAAAAAACCCAGAACCCAAATTTCTTTTGTGTTTCGTTTGAAAGATCACATCAAAGAAAACAGAGAAACACTCGTGCGGTTGGTGAGATTCTGTTTGTTCTTCTTCTTTGTGAAATGACTGGTTTTTTGGAATGAGACTGCTTCTTCTTCCTCTTCTATAACCGCCACTTTTTCACAACTCCTCCGATTCTTCAACAACGATTCCCCTAACGAGAAAATCATTACTGTTTGAGGGTGGAAAAAGGAGAGAGAGAGAGAGAGAGAAATATTACCACCCCATCAAAATCTATATGCAAAAACACTAAAACGGAGTCAGAAGAAATATAAGAGGAGAAAAAGAAATATTGAATATTTTTAAAGTTATTGGAAGAAAAAAAAAGAAAGGAGAAGACAAAAAAGCTGCCAGTGGGAACCCACGACAATGGTCGGCAAAGGTGGTGGCCAATGGAAATATGGAAGACCAGCAGAGACCAAAGGACTAGCCTTTCTTGCTGTATCACCACTTTCTCTTATTCTCAACCATATGCAATATTATATAATATATACACACACACACACAAACACACGTAAGAATATAAATATTAAAATAATAATAATGTAGGATTGTGGTCTGTGGAGGGGGTGGGTCTGCATGAACAATTGCTTCGCTGTATTCAACCTTCCATATTTCCTGTTCTTCTTCTTCTCTCTCTCCTCTTTTCTCTGTGTTTCCACCCCCTCTTAATATTGCTTGCTCTGTTTATGGCATTTGGTTCGGTCTCTGAGGAGATAACATACCTTTGAGACTCTCTCTCTCTCTCTCTCTCTCTCTAAAGCTGCAGTTATCCTCCTAACTGAAAAAAGTACAGGAAGGAAGGAAACGGGATTGTTTTTGGTGGGCCAAAACTTTCTGGCACAACCTTCTAAAGTTTTCTTTGGCAATTATGGGCGTTTTAATCAATAATAAAATTTTTGGACCCCTTTTTTTTTGTCAATAATTTTTTTTATTTAAGCATCTCTGGTTTTGTTAAGTACACCATCTCTCCTCTTCCTGATTCGATGCCGTTGAATACCTTAAATTGTCTATCAATTTTGGAGGCTTCTAATGTAAAAAGTTCAAAAATAATTTAGATGATAATAATATGAAAAATTAAACAGTAACACTTTTTATTTATAAATCGTAAAAACAACATTACAAGTTTCAATCCAAAATCATAAACATCGTTCTTAGCTAGGTCATTTTAAAAAAGAAAAAAAAAATTCTCTTATGAGTAAATTGATAACTTTTTAACCTGTTACGAAGGACAAAACTGAGGGTTTTTCTTTTTGTTTGGTTAAAAAAAATCTAAATTGTTGTCCATTATTGTGGTATTAAGATTTTTTTCTCCATTACCTCATCTAAATAAATGGTTAACTTAGTGGGCTTTATCACTTGCTAAATTTGTTAGCCTAGATAGTAAGAATTCATGTGTTAAAATTTCTAAACATGTGGAATGAGCCGTTTCATTTAAAGTCAATTAGATCAAACAACGACGTAGAAGAAAAAAAACAAAGAACGACGAAAAGAATTTTAGCATCTTCTTCTTTGCGAGGCAACTACTGCCTACAACACATTCAGGCCTCCTCTATGGATGTACCAAAATTTCGACTGGGCTATAACTATATCCTGTCTAACAAAAAAAAAAAAAAAACCAATCTTCTTCGAGACGTTGAAACATTCCAAGGGTCCCTGGAGGACCTTCATAGGCGTTTTCCCAGCTTCCGGAGGGTCCAAGGACCACCGTGTCCTCATATGGATCTGCGGCCACCAATGCATGCATGGAGAAGAGACTCTACTAAGGGCATGTTTCTATAGGTGGAATGGATTTGTAAGGAATATGTATTATTATTATTTTACGGTCTATACTAACAACCAAAGAATGGAGAATGTGGAGCAAAAAATAATCCAAAAATTTTAAAGCTGTCACGTGGACTTTTATATGCAACTGACAAGAATGCCCTTATTAAATTTGTGAGGCTCACATTTATTTCACGCTCAGTTCAACCCTCTGGAAGACCTGAGTTGTTGACTATGATCTCTCGAAGCTCCGCTCATGGCAAGGAGAAAAGTCAAAGGTATTAAATATAAGATTAATAATCAAATCATCTTTTTAAAGCTTTCCTTATTGAAGATCAACTCAATCAAGAAAGGAATAACAATGAAATCCAATCAGAGATTCTACGAGATAATTTCAAGATATTATTAATTAAATAATATCTTCGGGATAATTCTCTGCATCATCCAACCGATGACACACCTTGGCCGGATTCCGACACATGACATGGAAAACCCTACACATGTGGCGGCCCTATCTCTATAATACCTAGGGATGGGCAACGGTTATGGCGGGCGGGTAACCGCGGTTATTTATCCATAACCGTTTATTCTCATACCCGCATAACCGTTTACCCGTTGGGTAATTGTCTAAACGGTTATACTCATACCCATAACCGTTTATAAACGGTTAACCATACCGATAACCGTGTACCCATTTAGCCGTAACCGTTTAGTACCCGTTATTTATCATTTTTTAACCCGTTTATCCTTTCTTTTTTACCATTTACTCATTTTTCACCCGTCTACGTGTTTTTTTAACAACTTGAAAATTAAAAAAGAAAATTTTGTTATAATTTTCTTTTTCTAACAATTAAACACCGTTATAGGTACATTTATCATACATTTCTGCATTTTATTTTTTTAAGTACTTATACCATTCCAATAATTGAAATAATATTTTACGGACGATATTTTTAACTGTTAACAATGAAGGTAATATAAAATTTGCTAAGTATCTTGGGTTATGAAAACTGTTAAATGACAATATTCTTGGGTTATTTAACTCGGAATGTAAAGTATTAACATAATATATATATATATATATATATATATATATAATGGACCATGAAATTTAAAGTGGTTAAGGAAAACTATATTATATTAGCTACATAAATCATGCACTATAGTCAATAGCATTGATCTAAGTTTTGTCCGATAAGGAACATGGTTTGTGTTAATTATATATATATATATATATATATATATATAATAAATGGGTAAACGGTTACCCGTTTATAACTATGGTTAATACCCATAACCACCCATTTAAATTTTGCGGGTAAACAGTTATACCCATAACTGTTTATTTATCTAAACGGTTACCCATAACCGTAACCGTGAAATTTAAATGGACGGGTAACCGCGGTTACCCATAACTGATGGGTATTTGCAATACCCCATCCTCCACCAATTTATTGTAAGCTTTTATTATGCAATTAAGCCCTAAACTCTTTCAGAGAAATTGGCTCAGGCATCGAATCTCCATTGACCAAACCCCCCACTCTGTGGGCTTGTGGCTTTGGTCATTGATCAAAGGTGTTTAAATGTTTTGTACGTACAAATTCGTCAGGACTGAAGACGGCGGATTTTTGCATACCACATAAAAGATAAATGTTTTCGGGTGTCTCTTACATTTTCATACCGGAAAATTTAAGTATGGGACTGGGATCACCTCTAAATCCCAGCATGGGGAGCAAACTGACCAGAACATCCTAGCCTTCCAATTTCATCTTGCCTTGTTTTGCGTAAGAATTTTTCAACATTTAAATTTATTCCTGGCCATAGGATCAAAAATGGAAGGTTGAGATGTTCTGGTCAATTTACTCCGCAGGTTGGGATCTGAGGTGATCCCAGTCTGTAAGTATGAGATTACAATGTGGAGTTGTTTATCTCATACTTAATTTTTCATATCTCCATTCCTTTATCTTACCATTCATTCTCAATACAGTAAACTCCATTAAACACTTGAACTACAAATCACTTACTTATTCATTAATTTTATTACAGTACATATTAACCTAAACATCCTCCCCGTGTCATGCTATTTTGATTACCAATTTTAACAATACAGGTCCATTTTATTTAAGGCTTTGATGTCCATAATTTCCACAATTTTCACCATGTAAATTGCCATATAACAATGCAGTTGTGCCATAATATCACCAATTGATCACCATAAATGGAAAATTATTTAATAGACTTTATGTTAGTAGTTGAAAGTTCAAGCTGGCCATGGTGTAGAAATCGAACTTCTTGCACCACAATAAAGAGTTCTGTAATTTTTAATGTCATCTTCTTAATTGCCATATGATTCTTGCACTCTTGCAGAAATCACACATCTACTATGTTTTTATCACAGTTCTAAAAATTCCTGCCTAGACCCCATCTAGGCGCTAGGTGGCTGACAACCGTCTCGATTAATGCCTAGGTATTTGAAAATTAAGAAAGGACGCCTAGACCTGTTGAGGCACCCGCCTAGACCGCCTAGGCACCCGCCTAGCCTGCCCAGACCCGCCTAGGCACCCACCTAGGTTGCGACTCACTTAGACGAAAAATAGATAACTTTCATTTCCCATTTTATTTTTTTTAATAAATTGTAAGAGACTTGTTGAATACTTAAATGAACACACTTTATATGCATGTTCCTTATATTTTCATTATATTCCAATACTTCATAACATATATGTCATTCTATTTTGTAGTTTATGATGAAATTATATATATTTTAAGTATAAATAGACACTTATTTACACGAAATATAATAGATTTACTTACGTCTGCCTAGGCGCCCACCTAGCAGCCTAGGCACTAGGCCTCAGCCCACCGTCCGACTAGTGCCTAACATCTTTTAGAATCTTTTTATCACAAATGACAAAATAATTACACTACTTATTTAAATTGTAAAGAAAGAGATTCAAATTTTGATACATAGAGTGGAGCACATTGCTCCAACCAACTTGTGTAAACCCATGTATATATGCACCCATCCACTGCGTTCAAAGTTGACAAACATTGAAAGGGCAATACGGTCTTTTGAATAGGAACACTAAGAAATAAGGGACACCCTTCTCATTACTCAAATATAATTTGGTATTAAATATCATTAAAATGGTTTTTTATACACATGTAAAATGATTTAGAAAAGGAAGAAGAAAGAACCAGTGGCAAGCGTGGTAAGCGGCGCCATGATGGTCAAAAGGGATACCATAATTAAAAGAGAAATTTTATTCGAATTCATGTCAACTCAAGTTTTTTTTTTTTTTTAACGAACGATATTATTTGTTGCATTAATTAAGGAAGATGGGATGAACTAAGTCTTACAATATGATAGTACTAATGTAATCCAAAATTTCCTTTGGCGAGAATGAAACCTAAGACATTTCACTTACAAGTGAAGAGAAATACCATTAGATCAAAGTATTAAATGATCATGTCAACTCAACTTAAGATGTTAATACTCTATTATGTAGATAATATCGTTAGTTAAAAAAAAAACTCTATTATGCAATTATCATTAAAGATTAGTCTCTTACTACACGTTCATGCATATGCCAATATGCTCTTTTACATCTTATTTATTAATATTTATAGTAATATTTATTTTTATTTAGTTATGGATTTTTTTAATTAAAATGTTTTATTTTAGAATCTTAAATAGGAAGAGGTATTTTGGGAATATTAAAAACTTCACCATTTTTTAAACAAACGATATTATAGATTACACTCCCTTTATATATATACTAGCTCCTTGCTGCACGCTTACACATGTGACAATTGGCCTTTGTAGGTTAAATTAAGTTTTTTTTTTGTACGATTTGAAAATTTTAGAAAATCAAGTTTTTTTTTATTAATTAAATATTTGTTTTCACAAAAAATTATTTGAAAAGAAAATAGAAGTCAACCATAAACCAGCCACTAAT